CTTGCTCCTTTCTGCTCTCTGCTCTTGTTCTGTATCCTAATTCCTTCAATCCTCTTTCCGTTTCATTCTCTTCTTCCTTTCTCTTCCAAACAAGACCTAACTCACCCCAAATCAACTCACCCCTTGCTCAAAACGACAAGCCACTCATCCCATCAAATACAGACTGGTCACCAAACCACAAGCTGACCCCCTCAACGGTTGATTATAAAAACCAACTTGATGCTCCCAATCAACGCATCTTCAACAGTCTCCGCCAATTCTAACGATTGCCTTCTCTCACTCTTGATCAACTAACTACCTCACCCCAACACTGTTTGGCTCATCATTCAACGTCCTCTTTGACACCATTCCTCCACCATTCCCCTAAACATTCCACTTTGACTTTGTTTCTTTTCTTCTCTCATTCTCTTCGCTATCTCTCTCCTCTCAATCCTTGTTCACTTGCATCAACATTGACTACACATCCTCTCATCATTGACTCAGCGCTCACTCATCCTTGTTCCACCAACTCTCCCTCTTGATCTGCTCACCTGGCTTCTGCCAATTTTGTGAGAAAAAAAGTCTCTCAACAATTTCTCTTGTCAAAAAAGCCTTGAATAACCTTTTTCTTCTATTTCTCATGCCTCAGTGTCTACTACTTGTCTTTATTTGACATTGTCTACTTCAGCCTTTCTATTCTGTCTAACTGTAAATAAACTATCACTGTGGTAAATTTTCTTGATTTTTGTTGTTTAATTTCATGTTTCTTATTCTTTTTGAATGTTTCTCTAACCTTTGTTTTTCTATCTTTTAAGTTCTGGTTCTAGTAACAATTATAATTCCTGTTTTTCATCAACAATCCACTAAAAAGCGCTAAAACTACAGAATTTGGTTGCAAAAAAAGTGCCGCTATGATAATGATTTTTGGGCAAAAAGTGTAGTGGCCCATCCTTGCCACAGTGGAGTTTCTCTTACCATCTGTCAGGTCCAATTTAGTTGAAAATCAAGAATGGTGGCCCTTTGAAGATTTTGCAACCAAACATTAGAAAAAAGTAGCTATATGAGAAAAATTGAAACTTTTGTACAATTGCATCCAGTCATGCCTTGACAATAGTGGGCCAGATACACTGAATTGAGCTTCAGCAAAGCACAGTGCAGCAAAATACCGCTAACCCTGCAGATATTTTCTGTTAGCCATTGTTAGTATTATGCTATTTCTGATTTCCAAGGGATAAATTTTGCTGTTGCTACGCAGCATTACACCCTTTTTAGCAGGTTTTTCCGCAAAAATTGGTGTAACACAACATAGTGTTAATGTAGTGCTGCTAATGCTAAGGCATCCCAAGGTGTTTTTCAAGGTTATTAAACTGCAGCTAGGGGGTCATTTAGCGTAGTTCAGCATAGCAGCCCACCACTGTCCTTCACACTGCAAGAGAAAGTAGTGCAACCGTATGCAGTCAAAATGTGATTTTAAAAAGGCACTGTTGTAATATCACTTGTCAACTGTAAACAATTGCACGACTTTTTCTTGCAGTTTGAATAATACAAATATCTCTCAAGTTTAACCATGATCCCTTTCTCAAGTGTTTTCCATACACCAACAATGATAACTTGTTCCAATTTTAAAACAATGTACCTCTTCCATTCTTTCTTATGTACAGAATTGTACTTCACCAGGAAATAAACAAGTTCAATGGGTGGCAGTTGATATGAATCCAATGATTTCCATTATTTCAATCATACACTCAATAGCAGGGAAGCATCAGATTTTCCAAACCAATGGTTCTAGTTTGATGGGCAGACCTCAAATCTAACAAGGATCATCACTCCATTTTTTGACATTGATCTTTTGGAATTCCAAATACCCAGAGAAACCCCTGCTTGACTAGGTGTAGTTGATTGGAAGCTGGAAGCTCTGATACAAATGGTGGTGGGTGTCAATATTTATAGCACAAACTATATGAGCAGTATGCTGGATTCATACAACTATGCCCAGCCCCAGGAGTTTTTTTCCAGTAAAAAATGACCACAAAACCTGTTGACAGTGACTTGAAACTGCAAGCAGGAGACAATTAACTGCCAATTTCACATTTTTTCCAGTGAGAATGGATTGAGATGACCTGAAAAGATATGGAATTTCTGATTCACATCCAATCTGCATCCTGCACTGTAGATGACAATTGAGACTCAATTTTTGAAATGAAATCTAGTAAGTTCTAAATCAATTCTGCGCACCCCCGCCCTCTCTAGTTCTTAATATGATGAATATTTAACAGTTTCATTTTAAGGCCTTTATCAACAACAATACAAAATATTTACAAGGTGAGAAGTTTTAGGGGTTTCTGAACAATTACACACAGCTTTTTGATTTTTGAAGAAAAGTGTTGATAAAAACCTCCAGATGGGCTTTAAAATTTGATAAATTTCAATCATGAACCCCGCTAATAAGGAAGTCACACAGTGTTCAGCCTCAACATACTCTATTGTGATGAGAGTATTGCAATTTTTCCAGTTATTTCATGATGATGGTAATCTTTCACAATTTTCTCTATCACCATCTTGTTGAGCTTATCCATGAGGAAGGCGGTTATCACAGCTTGCTGACCCCCTGTTGACAAAAGAGTCTCCAAAGGTCTTCTTTTGAAATATCTATTAGGGGGGTTCAACATTGCTTTTTCAAACAGCTTTCTACACAAAACCATAGAGGTTCAAAACTTCAGTTTTCTGAAACTTTGCATTCCTCTTTATTTGGAACATTTCTCAAAAATTCTGTGAACTTTGTGACTTTGTGTAGAATGTTGTTCAAAAAATCAACTTTGAGCCCACTGATTGTTTCCTGTTATGTTTTTGTCCGTTTGTGCTGTTTGAGGGTGTGATGATTGTCTGATCTAGTGCAAGTGGAGTTATCCAGTTGTGGTGGCTTAAGATCCATGTTATTATTTTGGGTGGGTATGTATTATTTTAAAATGCTGGCTGTGGTCTGAGTTGGTGTGAGGTTGGGTTGAGTTCTTTTTTTTTCTTGAGTTTCCCATGAATCTGCTGGGGTTTGTTGTATCATTCTCCTAATTTCCCCCTCCTCATCTTCTCTCTCCAGGTACATACCAGCAGAAGTGGCCGATGCCAGACGATGTCAGAAGACGAAGGACGAAGACTGTCAACCGACAAACTCGATCGACCCAAGCATCTCAAGCGACTCCTCGATGGGTATAGCCTAGCATTCGTCCGAGCCTATCTGATCGGATATGGGATCGAGGTGATCCCGTTGGTCGTCCGATTGCTGATCATCAAGCTGATCGGCTTCACCCGCCGGAGGCTGCCGACCGGTATGCTCTTGATGGGACTGTTCCCGAGGATCATCAACCTGCTTCTCAAGGGTCTGCGGCCGACCGGCCTGGCGATGGCCAGTGGAGTGGCGATCGGTGGCGCACGCCTGGCCGAAGGTCTGGTCCGGAAACAAATCCAAGCGATCGTCCGGCTTCTCAGAGCTTCGTCGATCCGCCAAAGGTTCAGCCGACTCGTGCGTCCATCATCAACAGGCCAGGCCGATGTCTCCCGTCGGCCCTCCAAGCTCGAACACACCGTCGTGGCCCTCCTCTCCACCTTCTCTGCCGCCTCTCTCTCCTCCTTGCTGGCGATCACCATCCTGCAGTCCAAGCACACTAGTGCACTCATGGCACAAGATCCACTGCATCCCACGATGACGCCCTATCCGACGCTGAACAGCCAACCAAGCAACAAGCAACCCTCTACAACAAATGTTTCCCGGGCCCAACGACAATCACCGACGCTTGACTTTACGCTCTTCTTCACCGTCCGGGCACTCGACACACTTTGCCGGTCGCTTTTCGACTACTTTTCGCCGGCCTGGCTAGGCTTCTTGAGCCGATGTTCAGACACGATTCTGTTTCAACTCTGTTGCTGGAGGATCATGTGGTGTTGGTTCTATACGCCCTGGCGGCTGCCGATGAGCTACGTCAAATGGATCACCACGCTTGCCGAAATGGACCCCCGCTTACTCCAGCTGATCCGATTGGCGAAGCCCAAAAAGTTCTTCTATCGCTCCCCAGCTCAATCCGACCAGATCTTGAAATTCGGCCAGGAGATCGCTGCTCATATGGGAAGACCTCCCGAAGAAGGCGACCCGCTCTTGATCGATAAACTCTCATGTGGTATCGTTCATGGTAGATTGGGTAACTCCGAAAGTTGTACCATTAACGTCCTCAGAAGATTCCTTAAAGCTTGGAAAACTAGTCTGGGCATTTACCTTCCCGTATGTTCCTGAACACTCAAAATTCCTCTCAAGCCCAATATTAAAACTTTGACTGAACAAACTCATTGGTTTGTGTTTTCTTGGTCTGGGGGGGGGGGGGGGTGATGGCGTAGGTGTTTACAGTCCCAGTATTATTATTCCAAAGGAAGAAGATACTAAGAGCGCCGGTGAGAACGGCGTTCAGGATCCTCTTAAACTCCTCGAGATCGGCCGGATTTCTGTCGAGTTTTGTAGGACTGACCTGGGCGGGAGTATGTATCGGGCGGTCACGAGGGATGCATGAGCTTCTGAACATGATACTCAGAGGCACAGGGCTGGGCGATCCGATCACGGGGACCGATCTAGATGGACGGGTGGCCCCTCAACTGGGCAGTCTTCTAGCCGGCTTCAGCATCCTCATCGAGAATAAGAAACGCAGAGGCGAGATGGCCCTCTATGTCGCTACTAGGGCCCTCTGCGCTACCGTCGACGAAATACTTCCCCGCTGGCTCAGAAGACGCATCATCGTTAATCGCTGGGTCTCCATCTGGGTCGAAAGAATCTCATTCTCTGTCTCGATCGGAATCATCACTTGTGCTGTAAGCTCCTTTTCCCTCCTTCTTATATTCGAAAGCTTCTTCGCTCCGTCTACGCTTCTTAAAATGAGAAGCGCAAGCAAACAAGAAAATGGAATCGGATAGCACTTCTCATGGGTTATGTCTTGTGAAAAACTGTATGTAGATCGTCCATCATCCAGATTATGTCAGAGGGATAGTCCAAGGGATTCTGAAATATGCGATCGGACCCGACTGGCCCAAAGAGCCCTTCCATCCCTCGTCTCCCCCTCCCCCTCCTCCCCCTGCCACTGCTGTTGCTTCAGCCATCCAAAACGATCCCACACTTCCTGTGTCCTCGAATCAGACCCATCTTGACGACTCCACTGAAGAAGTGGTCTCTTATAATGCATCCACCCAAACTTAGACTTCCTCTCTTCCTCTCTACTCTTTTCTATTTATATATTTTTCCTGGCTTATGTTTTCGTTATCGTATAGAGAGCCTATTTTTTGTGTGTGTCATTATGTTCTTTATCATTCCTCAATCATCATTCATGAATTCTGTTGTTGTACTCTCATTGTTATCTTTATGATTTTCTGAGCATTGTACTGCATTTGTGTGTTCAAGTAGAGTTGTATCTCGTTCTTCATGTATCTCATCTCATCGTCTCCACATAATCAATCGAACAATCAAGCACTTCCCTTTCCAACATGGTCTGTAGTTAAATGCCTCAATTGTGCATCGAAGAAGCAAACCTTTTTTTTTTTTTTTTTTTTTTTTTTTTTTTAAAGTGCTATTGATTTCACATACCGCACTATAGCCTAGGTAAATTCTATATACAAGAGTATTCTGCATATGTATCTAACGTGTCGTACCACAACTAGCTGGACACCCATAAACGTGTTGTAGCCGATTAGAAATGTAGTCGAGAGAGAAGAAAGGAGAAGAAAAGGAAAAAGAGAAGAGAAATTTAGAAGAGAAAAAAAGAAAAAAATAATATAGAGAAGGAAGAAAAGAAAGGCAGAAAAAGAAATAGTGCAATAGATTAGCGTCGGGGCTCGAGACCCCCCCTCCTAGGCCTATCCCACCAAGAGATGAAACTTTCGGCAACAAAGTAGCCCACACTTCTGCCAGAAAGCAAGGCGAACAATGACAATACCCCCCCGTATTGTCAATGACGCTGCGGTTTTCAAGGATTCGGAGGAGGCGCCTCCAACTCTTCAGCATGTACGTACATAGGGAGAGGATAACAGAATCAAGAAATGATGAGGAGCGATAAGAAAACAAGAAGAGGAAAAGAAATAAAACCAGCACCATAAGATACAGCACGTGAGTATGTATTTGAGGAGAGAAGGGAAAGAACAG